GGTTATTTCCAGATTCTGGCTATTTTATGAATAAAGCTGACATGAACATCACTGAGCAAATGTGGAGCATCTTTCAGGTATATGCCCAGGAGTGGTATAGCTGGGCCTTGAGGTAGCACTAGTAAGGAAAGCATGGGCTGTCTCTGACATGGACTCCGTTGTCTGCTCTTTGATCACTTCCCCTTGGTAGGACAACCTTCCCAACCCACAGAGGAAGAAGATCCAGGCAGTCCTGATGAGACTTGATACGCTAGGGTCAGATAGTCCCTTTCAGTGAACTAGGGGTAGGAGGATGAGGAGAAAAGGAGGGTGGGACCAGGAGGAGATGAGGGAGGGGGCTACAATCAGGATATAAAGTGAATAAATTGAATATAAAGTAAATAAATTGTTTAAAAAAAAGAGCACTGGCTACTTTTCAAGCGGACTAAGGTTCAATTCCCAGCACCACCCACACGGCAACTCAGACCTGTGTGTAACTCCAGATCCAGGGAATCCAACACCCTCACACAGACATACGCAGCAAAATACCAATGCATATGATTGATTGGCTGATAGAGGCAAACAAGTTATATATAATTTTATATATATATATATATATATATATATATATATGAGAGAGAGAGAGAGAGAGAGAAAGAGAGATCAGCTCACTTTAGAGACGCTAACTCAGGCCAGCTTGGGCTACGGTGGACCTCAGCTCAGAACAAAGTTTCAGGTATCTGGATGGTATTCTGCAAGACCACAGCTCAAAAAAAAAAAAAAAAAAAAAAAAAAGCCCCTCCTTTCCCCCACACCTGTGTCCTCAACACTCCAGCCATAGTTGCGTGAGTCCTTCAGGGCTTGTCCTAGCAAAGCTGCCTGGTGCATCAGCTTTTTTGGTATGCAGCCCACGTTCACACATGTTCCTCCGAGACCTGCAACAACACACAAGTCAGTTCAGAGCCTGATGCTGAACCTTCGAAAAGCCAGGGTATTAAGACACTATTATCACTGTTCTTGTTGTTATTACTGCCCCATCCTCGCCCGCAGTAGTGGGCGCCTCTTCAGAAACCCATCAAGCCCTCCTCTACCTAGGAGCTGGTCCCCTCTTCTGGCACCACTCCACACCAACAGTGTGTTTCTTACTTGTGTTTCCCACTCAACTGTAAGTTCCACAGGGGCAGGACCTCACTCCACAGCGAGTTCACTGCTTCAGGCCCATGCTTCTGGTTCACAAGTGATCGATACACATTGAACGAATAAGCAGCCAACATGTAATTCACCAAGACTCAGAATGGCTATGGCTGTCTTAGGTATCTGAAGGCAGGAAGTAAATCTGGAGAAGAATGCTTAGAAAGAGTCCACTGTATTACAACAGATCACGCATCTACCTTCCAGCCAGCCTGTGGTCAGCTGAACCTAAATCTACAGCATTTAACTGGATCCCCTTTAATTCAACTTACATGCGAGCACTGTGTTTTTGTCATTTTTAATCGTCGTTGTTTTGGGTCTTAGAAAGTCATCCCCACCAATCGGGGAACCCGTGTACAGCACCTCGGAAACTTACCCCATCTGGTTCCAAGAGGAGTTGGTGTGACAAAATCCAAAACCAGCACCTTCTTGTCAAATCTGGCTGCCTCCTGGGAAACAAAATATCCAAATGAGCTACAGCAGAATGGTAACGGGATCGAGCACCTGCGCTGTTTCCATTACGCTCTAAGACCGGAAGTACACAAACAGCCACAGACCCCCGTCTGGGAGGCTAGCTAACACACAGTGCTGAGTAGTTCAGCTGCAGAGCAAGCGCTGAGACGCCCGGTCAACCTCAAAGCTTACAGACTATATAGCTGTAAACTGTTAGGAACAGCCAGCAGGCCCTGGATGACTCCTGCATGATTCCTCTCCAACAAAACACAGACACAGCACAATCCGAGAAACTTTTTCTCCCTTTCCAAGCAAGTGGTAAACACCTAGCAAGGCCAGCTAACTGAGAGCCCAAGGCACCTGTCTCACCCTGCACCCTGGGAGGCAATCTTTAAAGGACTTCTAAGTTTACCTAGTGCTAGGTAAGCCAGAGTATGGGAGGAGCTTTTGTTTTCTTTGTCTGAAATCGAAGACTATTTCTTTCTCACAGAGTAGGTGTGGTATATTGGCCACTGAACCTGCAAGGGTTACTGAGAGCAAAGCTGTGTGTCCTTCATATGTGCCATGGCTACAGAACACTGAGCCAGGAGCTGCTGCTGCGGAGTCACTTCAGTCAAGTGACTTGCTTCAAGGCAGACCCTGCCTGTTCCTGATCTGGGAGGCTTCACAGGCCACCTTTACTGGCTGATACAGGCAGCACCTTAGAGGGCTCTGACCACTTCCACCTGTTAAAGACCCTGCCGGAAAAAGCAGCAGGCCTGAAGATTGTTCACATAGGCAGCTCTTTCTGCACCTCACGCCAGGGGGCCAGAAGCCTCACTCAAAAGTGACTTTCTTTCCTATTTGTAGATCCTCTTTCCAGTAAGGTCCAGGACTGACTGATCATTCTCAAATTACCCCATATACACCAGAGGCAAATCACTTTTAATCAAGTTAAAGAAATCTAACTCTTCACTGGAGAAGAGTAATTACAGAGAGATCATCAAAGTGAGAAAATCCCAAATGTTAGTTAAAAGAAAATGCATGTAAACTTTGAAGCATTTCTACACCTTTACTATCCTTGAAAAGCAACAACAGCAACAAAGCAATTTAAAATGAAACAAAGCATGCCCTAGACATCACTGGGCTTTTAACTTTTACAAGAAGATTCAGCATTTCAGTCTGGAAAAGCAGCTTACAAAGTGGTCCCTTTATACGTCCTGCTAGTTAATGGAAAAACGCATGCCTGCCACCACCCACACAGCACAGCACAGAGGGCCTTGCCTTAGCTGCTGCCAGGCCTCCCGAGCCTCCTCCAATGATGATCAGGTCGAAGTCATAGGACCCAGGAGGATCTTCAGGGCCATTCATCGTTGGCAGCTTTTGAAGTTGGCCTTTTTTATGGCGCTGCAGGAAGACAGCATAAATGAAAGAATTTAAGTGAAAAGTGGCAATATTCAGAAAGCTTTGAAAATCTTTCTTTAAAGAAATGCAAAGGCCGCTTTCAAAGGGATCATGTCTCTCACTGCAGCTACATGTGGAAGGGGAATCAGTATGTCGGTTCATCTAGGCCATTATCACAGAGCACTGCTATCCTACCCTCTCTCCTATCCCTGCTACCTACTTTCAAGGGTCCACATCCTACACACTGACAGCCCATCCAAACCGACTTACAGCCCAACTAAGTGTGACACTTCTCTCCCAGAATCTAGTGTTTTACAGGCATGTTTGATTAGATGTAGCAGGTTTCACTGTGATACCTCAGTATATACTGACGTTCCAGAGATATCTTTTCTCCTTACCTAATTTTATTTATGTACTTATTTGTGGGGGAAGGCATGGTTGTGGAGATCAGACGAAAATTTGCCGGAGTCAGTTCATCAGCTTGGTGACAGACACCTCTGTCTGCTGAGCCACCTTACCAGGCCAGGCCCCCTTCACAGAAGGGGTTTTAAATTAGGTTTCCTTCACTTTGAGGACAACAAAGCAAAACACAGAAACAAAAACCTTCTACTGAAATTCTCCCAATTGTTAGAGCTGTTAGATATAACTGTTCTGCCTATTTTTTAATTTGTATTTAGTTTTATTTTATATGCATTGGTGCGTTGCTTGTATATTTGTCTGTGTGAGGGCATTGAATCCTCTGGAACTAGGGTTACAGACAGATGTGGGCTGCCATGTGGGTGCTGGGAATCAGACCCAGGTCCTCTGGAACAGCAGCCAGTGAGTGCACTTAACCACTGAGCTACCTCTCTAGCCCTCCACATGTTTTTAATAGTGCCATCAATGTAACTTAGCAATCACCTTTAGCTTCTAGTCAAAGACGGAAACACTGGGTTATGGTCGTAGAAGGGAGTCGTAAATAACGAGCACAATAATATTAACACAGCAATTGTAAAGTTGGCCAAGTACATAAGACTTTATTACACTGTGTGGCTGAGACTCAAAATCCAACATCTCAGAAAAATCATTCCCAGTATTGGTCTACATGTAAAGTTAAGTCTCTGCCCCCACAGGTACTTTAGCGGTTTGGGTTTTGCTGTTTGAGACATGGTCTCACTCTGCAGCTCTGGCTGTCCTGCAACTCACTGTGTAAACCTGTCTCTGCCTCCCAGGTGCGGAACCAACGGTGTGGACCACCGTGCAGAGCTTCAACCCCATGCGTGCCTTCTACCACCAGCCCTTGAAGACATCTTAAATAGGCGGCACACACGGGACCCTGCCAAGCTCACCGCTTTACCCTACATGTCTAGAGTTCTGTTTAGTTTTTGTTTCCATATTAGTATGTATCGACTTCATAAATTTAAACAGGTGTTAAGAAAAAAAATCTTTAAATTTTAAAACACCTCTTCATTCTAGTATATACCGGAATATAGTTTTATATGTAGCTATTTATATTCTACATTGGTTTGGAACACCGTTTTAGTAACACATTCATTATTAAAATAAAACCCTGGGCTAATGGGGTTAATGACTGAAAAGTCAGTAAGCACAATAAAAAATATTTTTAATCCAATTTTACCCCTAATAGCTAAAAAGCCCCAAACTTACCAGCCCAGACTGCGTATTTTTCTCCTGCCTACAATCAGGTGTAGAGGGTGGAGGGCAGAGTCGGGAGTAAGAACAGGACATCTGGGGTATCTGGGGTGTAGAGGGGGGTGCTGTCGAGGAGTGCGAGGTAGGGAGCGTAGGCCCTCGAGCAGCCCTCAGCGGCACGGGAGGCGCACACAGTGGCCGGGGCACTGCAGGCAGAAAACCTGGAAAGCCCCAGCTGGGGCGAGTCTGCGCCACCCAGACAGTCTGCACACAAGGTCTAACTCGAGAAGCTGGGAAGCACAGCCAGCACTCATCAACTGGCATGACGACCAAAGCTTCTCCTTCAATGCAGGCCACTGTGGGGGGAAAAAGCTGGTAATGACAGCCACTCAGACCAAAGGTTTAGGTGAAATCACACAGCCAGAGCACCTCCTCTCCCGAGGGTCACCAAGAGCGTGAGGCCCATTTGTTGCTTTTAAAGGATAAACAAGACAAAAACAAAAACTTAACAGATGTTCTTTTTTAAAAATAATTATTGTGGTGCTGAGGCAATAGATGACCAGTTGAGTGCATTGTTTTTTCGGAGTCTGGTTCCCAGACACCAGCATTCTCATGCATGCACACACACACACCTGTTATACATGGGGGGGGGGGGGCAGTGGTTAAAACACTAGCTGCTATTCCCCACCCACAAAGCAGCTCAAAACTGCCTGTAACTCTACAGGCACCGGGCAGACAAGTAGTACAGACATCCATGCAGGCAGACACCCACACACATAGAAGCAAAATAACTCATGTAGCACTTAAGTGTGCTTTTGTTCAACTGGTGGACAAAGGCATAGAACACAGGTGCTAAATTAATCCTCTTCTGCAACTGGGAATCACTGTTCAGTGTGAGTTTTAAAGACATACAGGAATATGGACACAGAGAACAGCAGAAGGTGAGGTCAGTGTTGATACTGAAGTTGATACAGGAATAGTTTGTAATTGTAACTATGGAGTGTGGGTAGCTGCAGTGGCCTCTGCCAACATACGGACACAGCATTGTGGATGCAACTGGAATGAACACAGCCTGAACTTAAGAGAGCATCAGTGTCAGCAGTAGTCGGACTGTGTGAAGCAAACTGAAGACGCTAATGCAAAAAGATCTCTGATGGAGAACTCTGAAGCTGTCACAGATATGTCTGTCCTTAATTCACTCAGATAAAAGAATCCAAAGGTTGCAGGCTGGTGACACAACCAGATCAAGCCTTGGTTCTTTGAAAAGGGCCATTTTAGAAATCCCGAATGTCAGTGACCTCAATTCACAGCGAGGATATCACATTTGAAACCCCATAAATACTTATTGACTTAAAAGATTAACTGTAACAATCTCAAATTCACTTTAACTGCATGTTCTTAGGACAGATGGGAAGACAAGAGAAAAAGAAAAACCTGTTGTCCTTGGAGCCAACCTCTTGCAACACCTAAGCAGAACAAGTGAGAACAAATGCACTCCTCCCCCGCCACCCCCAATCCTAAAAGGCCATAAACTGCCTCTTCCAAAGGTTTATAGTGTTCTTTACCAAAACTCTGAATCTAATATGGGATTTTTACAGTTCAAGCTTAAAGTAAAATTGTATCAGCCAGGTTTAAACAAAAGCACAAGGGAATCTCTAAGGTGTAACTGGCAAGCTGTGGGCATGTGCGGCATTTAGCTGAGTCTAGAACTATCCTTTCATTTTAACCCCACTTAACTGGCTATCAGCTCTAGCTAAATGGTTCCCCCTCAAAATGTAATCAAATGAACAGCTCCCCAGGACAAGCTACCAGACCTGCTGATGTCCTGATTTTGGTCTAGCCAAACCCATTCTGATTAGACATCCAGCCTCCAAGACAGCTTGGGTAGTCCTGTCTTGGGTACTGGGTGTTTAGTGATTTGTTACAGCAGTAGCAGCAGGAAACCAGCATAGCCAGGACACTGTAGAGCCCATTCTCGATGGCAATACTCCACCACTCGCCTCCAGAGACCAGAGCAGCGCAGAGTGGGTATCCATCGAAGTCAGTTAGCAATATGCACTTCAAATCAGTTGACGATAAATCCCCCCGAACAAAGAAAGGTGGTAGCGCACACCCTTAATCCCAGCACTTGGGAGGTGGAGGCAGGTGGATCTTTATGCGTTCAAGGCCAGCCTGGTCTACAGAGGGAATTCCAAGACAGCCAAAGCTATACAGATAAACCCTGTCTCAATAAAAACCAAGTAAGTATGAGACTCAAAGAAAACAGACCATTACAGAGAAGTCAACAGGGAAGGAGGCGGCACTGTAAAATCTGCTGAGTGTCCGCAATGTGACAAGATATTGTACAAGACATGTTTTGTGCACATTAAATCCCATCAAATCCTCAAGATAGTCAGATGTCATTTTTATTTCAGATAGGACAGGCTATGGCATTAAACTTGTCCAAGCTGGTGAGACAAATCAGCAGCCACCAAGTTCAATTTAATTATTCCTGGGACCCATATTATGGAAAGAAAACCAACTCCCAAAAGAGTTGTCCTCTGAGCTCCAAATAACCATGCACGTCAAATAATTTAACTGAAATGTTTTTTTTTAATATGGAAGAAACTTGCCTAATGGGACAGTCAGTAAAAGTGCTTGCTGCACAAATGACCTGAGTACGATCCCCAGATCTCAACTGCTATCCTTTCATAGTGACACAGGCTATAATCTCAGCACTCAGGAGGCAGAGGAGCTCTGTAAGTTTGAGGCCAGCCTGGTGCACATGGTGAGACTCGGTCTCAAAAACAAAAGGTTGTCCTTTCACTTCCACAGACACAAGCTGTGCACACTCATTCACATACGTCACTCTCAAACGCACCTTTCATCTCTTGCTTTTTCTGATATACCTAGTAACTATACTTAACCACATACACTTTTCTAATTTAATCCTGTATTCTGTATTTAGATCCTGAGTTTTCTGCCTGTACATGTGTGTGCCTGGTGTCACCAGAAGACAGTTTCAGATCCAATAGAACTGGGGTTTCAGGTGGCTGTGAGCTACCATGTGGACACTGGGAACTAAGCCCAGGTCCTCTGCAAGAGCAACAAATACTCTATAAGCGCTCTCTCTCCAACATCAAGAGGAAGGACTTGCACTGGGCAAACCAAAACCAGAGTCTGATAGTTGGGGGGTTGCCTGATCTACAAACTGAGTCCAGGACAGCCCCAAGGCTACATAGAGAAACCCTGTCTTGGAAAACCAAAACTGGGATTTAAGGGAGAATTGTCTGGAATGGTTATTTTTTTTTTGCTTTTTATATCCCATTCCTTTGAAGTTTACAGTTTAGGGCTGATGTAAGTCCTTTGATCATAAAAGGGCCTTTTTAATCAATAAAGTTCTAACTTTCGAACAAAATATGTGAAATCCCCCCTTAGAGGCAGCTTCTTTGAATCTTCTAATTTAAGACATTGAAAGCAGATTTGCAATCTGGTTAATTTCTATATCTCCTATCGCCCAATTATCTTTCAAAGGTACCTAGTTTGAATCCAAAATAATGCCAACAAACTGCAACACCACAACCAGCAAAAGCACAAGCAAGAGGCCCAGCTGATGTTTATCAGAAAGTCTCTCTCCCGAATGGCTTAATTTTCTGTTAATGTTTTTTTGGGGGGGAGTGTTACTATTGTTTGGTTTTTTGAGACAGGGTATTTCTGTGTAGCATTGGCTGTCCTGGACTCACTTTGTAGACCAGGCTGTCCACAAACTCATAGAGATCCACCTGCCTCTGCCTCCCTGAGCGTGCCAGTGTGCCCAGCTTCTGTTAATGTTTTTTTTTTATTTTATTTTTTTCTTATCAGTTACATTTTAGTAACTCTGTATCCCAGCTGTATCCCGCTCCCTCATTCTCTCCCCTGTTAATGTTTTTAAGCCATTTTCTGTATGTCAAAAACCACAACTTGGCAAAGACATCAATAAAGCAAGGCGCTGAGGACGAACTGCCAAGGTTCTTTTAACAATGGCAGTATATTCTCCTTCCAAGAGCTATCTCCTGAAAACCCCAGGAGTCTGCTGAGATGCCAGCATGAGCAGCAGCAAGACAAATGATGCTCCTTCCAGCTTAAGGGTGGCCAGTGTTAGCATTTCTTCACGCGAAAAAGGGGGAACCACCACTATAGAAAGTCTGTTCCCGAAAGGACTGTTCTCCTGGGTTCTCTATACATTGCTGGTACTTATGTGGCATTTCTCCACATACAGGTCCTGGTATCATTTGGACATTGGCATTTGCTCCCCTGCACTACACCTCAGATTTAGAAGGGAAACTTGTTATCAGCAGCAGAAATTTTCTACCAACAAAGACAAACTCATAAAAGGACACGAAGGTGCTCATGGACATGTCCATTGCCTCTTCTAGGGTGATTTTAATAATCCAAATTTTCTACATTGACCACCAAACAATTTACACATAAACACCCCACTACCCACTAGATAGAAGCTAGGCGGAGTAGCACATGCTAAGAAAGCACTAACCAGGAAACCACATCTCCAGTTGTCCTGTGCTTTACAGTCTTAAAACTATAGCACCAAAAGAAAGAAAACAGAAGTTCCCAACATGCAGTATCAAGAGCATGGCCTCCTCTGATGCTGTCTTCCAGCAGCAAAAGGCTACACTGTCAGTACAAGTACTCAAATCCCATTTCCATCCCCCAGGAAACTTAGGCCCACAGGAAACCGGGCATTTGTGGCATAAGCACTCAGGGTGGATGTAGAATTCTTGCTATATAGGCCCAGATACAGAGGAAAGCCCTTGGTGGGTTCTGTTGTTTTAAAGTTAATGGGACAAATATCTAGAGTTGTTACATGTTGAAACATGTTGAAACTGATTCTGAAGCACACTCTGTGCTGGTAAAATCCAAAGAGAAAAGGTGGTGACAGATTAACCAGAGTTAAGTCTTGCAACTAGATTCTATAAAAACACTGGCCACCCCTGCAAATACTGGCGAGGTGATTACTGCCAGCTTACATTCAAGTTTTCTGTACATTCTCTCCTGTCATAACTTGTCAGTTCCACACATATGACCTTAGTTTCTTACCTAGAGTGCCTTTTTGCCCAGTGTGGTGGCACACAGCTTCAGTCCCAGCAAGTAGGAGGCAGAGGTGGAGACAGAAACAGGCCTATCTCTGTGAGCTCCAGGACAGCCATTGCTACATGTTGAAGCCGTCTCAAGACAAAACAACCCAGAAAACCTTTCTGTACTGTCAAATGTGGACACACTTTTCAAGCAAAAAAAAAAAAAAGTTTAGAATATGAAGATCTACTATCTGAAAGGAAGTATGCCATTTAGGTTTTTCTAGTCTTAATATCGCTTAATATTAACTGCTGACTGATTTTGTCCTTTTCTCACTCTTTCCCACATCACAGTGAGTCCTGGGTTTAGTTTCTAGCAAACTGGCTTCTAAGAAACTCAGGGGTTTTCAAAAGACTTCCCATAGGCACAACAGTGAATTTTTAAGATTACAACCTCATACGCTACCAAGGAAATATACTGCACAGTAGACAATCTGCTCACGAAAACAGTTTACTAGACTATGTGCTTCTGTTTAGATTCTACTTTGATAAAATTAGTACAAGACAGAAGTCATACACCACAAACAAAAGTCTTCAGTATGAGTTTTTGATCATAGCCTCTGAAATTTCAAAAGTGGAGACAATATTTTTCCAGTCCTGCAAACTCAAAGATATAACCCCTTGTTTCCTGCCATAAGAACAGGAATCATTTTCTTCACCCACTTGGTTGACATTAGTTGGCTCTAAAATTGGCAGTCTGTCTTGGTCAAGCCTTATTCTTGCGAAGCCATCTCTAATGATAAAAGAAACATAGAAGATATTCTCCACAGTGCGAGAAAACGAGTTTGGATCGATCACAAACTCAAAATACGATACTGGAGTATCAGGGTACTTTTGAAAGTAGGTCTGCAGCAACCCCAAGATTCTTTCTACTTCTTTTTCTGTGGTCTCCTGATTAGCATGCATGTCCAGCTTCCTCAACTTTGTAGGCATATCTCCATTTTCTTCCATTTTGCAAGCTCTTTTGTGATGGTCAAGCCGGGGCTTTCGTGCAGAACGTTCTGCCTTGAACGAACCAAAAATGAAGTGGAATGTTTCGGCTCGCTGCATCCAGGGCGTGGCCTCCTTCTGCAGCGTTCCCCAGAAGGAACGCGCTATGCTTTCGTCGCAGTTGCTCAACTCGCCACACTCTTCTTCCACCCAGTTCAGGCCCATAAACACCAGCAGCGCGTCACAGAACGCCACGTGATTAAAAAAGCTCATATCCGAGTTTAACTGCTTTGCTTTTTCTTTACCCAGATCAGAGGCCAAAACCAGGAACTGGGCATCGAGGGCTGCCTCTCTGGTTCGGCTCACTCCGTCGAACAGCACGTTGGCCTCCTCCAGGGCCTCGGTCAGCGAGTTGCTGGCCGTGTTCACGATGTCCTCACGGTTCTGCTGCACGGTGTAGATGAGCTGCCGGTACTGCCTGCGGATGCTGCGGCACTTCTCGCGGTCCACCGCCAGCTCCAGGAGGTCCGGGTGCATGTCGGAGGCCCCGGGGCTCAGGTCCTCAGAGTCACTGTCCAGGCCTTCCTCCTCCTCGTCGTCGTAGTCCTCATCCTCCTTCTTCAGCACCTCCTCCTCCTCCTCCCCCTGCTTCACCAGGTACCGCCACGCCAGGCTCCTGACCTGATCCTCTCCTTTCTCCTTGCCTCCAGTCAAGAAACCTTGTCCTTTAGACATGATGGTGGCGCGCAGGTAACAGCTGAGGGCACCCAACGGTGGCTGCACGGCAATGGCAGTGGTGGAGACCGTTGGAACGGCTGCTTTCTGCACATGCGCAAGAGGCCCCGCCCCTCACTCCGTGACCACACCCCCAGCTCCGACCCGGGCCCTCTGCCTGAGCGGAAGTCCATGCTAATTCCCGCTCACCACGAGGGACGTACACAAAAGCGACCTTAGAAGTGTCTCCACCCATGAGTGGAAGAACAGTGGGCAAGGTTCTGCAGGGGAGCCGTTTCTCTGGAAACCCGCCAAAGGCTAAAGAGAGGCTTTTATACTCTACAGGGGGGCTACCCTGAATCCTGGGCACGTGAGCAAACCATGAAGATTTTCAACACCATCTGTGCTATCTGCTGGCTGAATAATATGCTTTGGAAAAGCTACACGCCAGCTCACTGGAGACCCAACGGGTTATCAGGGCACAGCGAGGTAACAAAGGAAGGCGTAAGGAATATTTTGTTTCTAAGTACAACAGGCACATGTCCAATTCGCACCATGGGGTCAGTGGCTGAGGTCCGGGCACAAACAACTATGAGGAGACCCTTTTTCTTAAAGCTTGAGGAGGTTGTTCAAAGGGAAGTTCGGGTAAAGTTCCTTGCAGTGAAGATCAAAATAACATCTATAATTATATTAAATCATTCCAAAGTCCTTATTCAACTGCAATAATCTCTTTTATCCAGGAGCAACTCAGAATTACTGGGGTTGGGTATGGTATCAGCACAAGCCTTTAATGACAGCACTTGGGAGGCTGAGGCAGAGAGAACGAGTTCGAGGCCAGTGTGGTCCCTAGAGGAAGTTCCAGAACAGCCAGAGCTACACAGAAAAACTCTATCTCAAAAAAAAAAAAAAAAAAACAAAAAACAAAAAAAAAAAGTAAAGAAAAAAGACAACAAAACTTTTTTCTTAATTAAAAAGGTATTTTGCATTTTGCATGTATGTATGTGCACCACAAGCATGCCTGGTACCTGAGGTCAGAAGGGGGCATCAGATTCCCTACTTCCCAAGGAGTAAGGGCTCTTTAATGCTGAATCATAGTTCTAGCCCCTAAGAGTTCAAGCCATCCTGTCTAGAGACATGTCTCAAAAGAGAGGAAAGAGAGAAAAACCACATAAAATATAGCTCACCTTTCAAGAGTCTTCCCAGCACTTCCAGAGAACACGGGTTTGGTTCCTAGCATCCCTTGCCTGTAACTCCAGTTCTAACACCGTCATCTAGCCTCCACTGGTAACCATGTACACACACATACTTAAAAATAAATCTTTAAAAGGCAAACCACTGAAGGTGAGAAAAAAGAACCAATCCAACAAATTTGTCCTCTGAGCCCTCTGAACTCCACTCACGGACCCTCATGACAATATCTTCTGAATTCCACACATAGACCATGGTGCGCATGCACTGCCCTCTGAACTCGACATACAGACATAGTACTTATGCCTACACATATACCATTCACATACCATAATTTTAATTTTTAATGTGCTGGAATAACTAGAGACATGGTTCAGAGAATAAGAGCACTTGCAGCTCTTCAAGAGGACTGAGTCTCACAACTCCCTGAAACTATACCTCAGGGGATCCAACCTCTTCTGGCCTTTGCAGGCACCTGCACATACATGGGAGACATTCACACCATCACAGATGCAGACACATCCCTAATTTAAAATTTAGAACAGACTGGAGGAAAGCCTGTGCCCCAGTCTTCATCTACTTGGCACTGGCTTAGACAGGCTGCTACACCTTCAAGCCATCGCTGTGCCTCATCTGTAAAATGGAATTATAAAAGTACTCAAAGTATAAAAGTAAGATTATAGGGGCTAGAGAGATGGCTCAGTGATTAAGAGCAGCTGCTGGTCTTCCAAAGGTCCCAGGTTCAATTCCCGGCACCCACATGGCAGCTTACAACTGTCTATAACTCCAGCTCCATGGATTCTGACACCTTCATACCAAGGTATAGAGAATAAAACTAAATAAATTTTTAAAAAAGTAAGATTACAAAATCAATCAGTGGGGTTTTAACTACTGAGCAAGTACTTACTATGTTCCAAAGTATCTCAAATAGATATACATCTCCAACCCGAGACATGGGCTTCTGTGTAACAGAGCCCTGGCTATCCTGGACTCACTTTATAGACAAGGCTGCCCCAAATTCACAGAGATCCACCTACCTCTGCCTTCCAAGTGCTGGGAATAAAGGTATACGGCACCATGTCTGGCTGTCTCAAAGATACTTTTACATACAAAGTAGTAGTAATTTATACTTGCCCAATATGCACAAAGCCCTGGGTCTGCCAGATCCTCAGCACCAGGCAAGTGCACACCTATAATCCTAGCACTTGGGAGGTGGAGGCAGGAGGATCAGATTAAAAAACAGCCTGACTCAAAAATAAATAGGAGGAAGGGAGAATAATACATTTCAAAGGTTAAACTGCCAGAGAAGAATAAACACAAGCATATTCTTCTGTAACAAATGTATCGGTGCAGGAAGAAAAACTGCAGTAAGAAGTTGAAAGAAACCACTAAGGTTTCAACCAAAACAAAGTATGTTTAGAACCCTGAAGAGTAAACCCATCTGACAGCTATTCCAAAGCAGATCCACAGAGTCTGGGTTTGCACAGAAAGGTGCTTTTTCTCATGGCAGACTCTAAAGTACCGTAGCCAAAGAGAGGCTGAGTAACTTCTCTTACACATAAAATGGATTATACTATTGTACGGTGCTGGAAATCAAAGCCACGGCCTTCCTTACAGCTGTCAACCACACAGCCAATGAGCTGTACACACCCAGGCACAAGGCAGCAGTGCATTCATGAAACAAGATAAAATGAAGATCAAGTCACACTAAATAACTTGCATCTAGACAGTGAAGTGTTTTAGAATATTTAAACCTCTACCCTTCCTTTGTGATAACAGTATGTACTTCTTGACACTTTCAAAACCAATTACAACCCACATACTCTGGAGGTCAGACACGCCAAGAAAAGCATCATTCTGGTCAACACAAGAGGTGGAACACTGGCTGTCTGATGGAGAATGCAGAAACCAGCAGACCTGGTTTCAAATCAAATACCTGCTCTGAAGAGCCACAGAGATGGCTCTTGCAGAGAACCCTTGGTTCCTAGAACCCACATCAGAGGACTTGCATCTATAACTCCTGCTGCAGAGCTGATGCCTCTGTGGTCCTCAGGGCCCTGTACTCACACACACACATCCACGTATAAATGCAGACATCTTAAAAAAAATGCTTTCTTAATTGCCACTTAATTTTCTCTCTAGGAGTTTTGAGTCTCCTCATTTGCAAAGTCAGTCTACTGGGCATTCCATTCTACCTTAAAACCTGTTACTGACTTTTTTTTTCCTTTCCTTCTTTTTAGTTATGGAAAAATATTTATTTGTTGGCATACATTTTCTGGTAGTGGTGTGGACTGGAGCCCAGGCTTGAGCATGTGAAGCAATCCCTCTACCACTGAGCTACACCCTAAATCTTAACAGAAGTGTTCTTAAGTGCATATATTACCATACAGATCTGTGTTAGAGATAAGAGGGTAACACCTAGCTTGATGCTGACAGCAGAGTTGCCTCATCAACTAGCTAAAGTGACCTCTTTCTTCCTGATTGACAAAGGCTCACCTGCCTGAGGTGCTAAAGGCACTGAGACCATCAGTTATAAAATCCTAAATTGTTTCCCAATGTGCTGCTCAGAACCAGTTCTCACAGCTCAGAGTTCAGTGTCTGACAACCCATCTTCAATGAGATCAGAACCTTCAAACTTAACTCCCTCAGGGATCTCTATGTCCCCGCCACTTAGAGTGAATACTTACCAAACGAGTATAGGAATGAAGCATTAATGTGTGGAATGCATATGAAGAGCTAATAGGAAAGTCTATCATCCTTATTTAGTAGGCACAGTGGAATGAAGTCTCATCCAGCAAGCCTCAAAGGAATGGAGGTCTACTGTATGCCAGAACTATGCTAGGAATACTGGGATCTACGTGGCTCCATCCTGACTCATGAGCACATGCGTCAGACCTAGAGCAGCCGTGTATCTCAGAAGCAGTAACAAAGCCAGAGAGGTATGAGTGGAGCAGAGAGCGCTGCACAGCCAAGGGTCTGGCCCCCTGCAGCCCCGCCTCTGCCAGCTGTATGATCTGGGCGTGCCTGTGTGATCTGGAGGCCTTCATTTTATTTTCTGCAAGATCTCGGGCAACTGTGACAACTTAGAACGCAGCACACAAACAGCTGTTACTGTCACCAATGGGCATATCCATTTAGATGGGGTACTAACATACCCTTGGAAACACGGGAATGTGAAGTAAGCCTACCTCTCCACCTTGATAAGCGAGCCAGAAAATCAGTTTGTGGGATTCCTAAGGATTTGCAGAGGTGCTGTGGGAACACAACTATTCTCTGAACAGGCACTCACCTGGACAGGAAGAGACACCAGGAATTGAAATAAAGAAACTGAGTAGGGAACCTAGGGAACTGCAGGTGTGACTAGTCCCAGGAGCCTGGGAATAGAGCAGATGAAAAGAAAACCCCACTGGCCCTGGCCCAAGAAAGCACATAACAGCTCATTGAAAAATCAGCCCTTTATCGTAGAAGCAGATCTGGCAGCAAGCAGCAGCCCTGAGAAAGGTGGTCCAGGGCAGGCTAGGGAGGGAGTGTTCAGGGGTGATGCTGCCTTCGTGAGAGTGTGAGGTGAGCTGGGCCAGAAGAAATAAGCACCCTTCTCCCATGACTGTCAGGAATAGCCAGGCTGGTGCTAACCCAACAGGGTGGGCTTGGGGACTGGGGACTGACCACAACTGGGCTCCATGTGCCTGGGTGTGATTCTCTACTGCCTGCCTGCTCTCTCTTAAAGAAACTGAGTCTAATGCAGCCAATTTCAGTCTCATCAGCTCGGCTCTCCCCTCAGATCTCTGAAGGCTTAACTGTGGTAGTACTCCAATGGGTACTGTCTCACTGACCCTGCCCTTTCTTCTCAGTTCCACCAAACAGAGGCATTTAAACAGGTAATTTCAAAACTCTGGCCGTGGAGATGGCCAGTGTGGAAAGCACCAGCCACTATGCCTGACAGCCTGAGTGCAATCCCTGAAGCCTGCATGGTGGAAGGAGACTGCATCACACAAGTTGTCCCTGACCCTTACACACACCGGTAAGTGCACCCGCACGCTCACTTGCATGCACACAAATGTAGTAAAAAAATGTAAAACCTCTGGAATCTCAAGTTCTGATTCTTGTAGTCCTGCCTTAAAGATAAAATAAAATGCTGCCAGGCTTGGTGGCATACACCTTTAATCCTAGCACTCGAAAGGCCAGAAGCTAGAGACACTTAGTAATTCCACGGCCAATTTAGGCTACCTAGCCAGCCTGATCTATATAGGGAAACTGCCTCAGAGAGAGAGAGAGAGAGAGAGAGAGAAAGACCAGGTGTGCTGGTACACGCCTGTGATCCCAACACTCAGGGAGGCAGAGGCAGGCGGGTCCCTGTGAGTTTGAGGCCAGCCTGGTCTACAGAGTCTAGGACAGACAAGGCTACACAGAGAATCCCTGTCTCAAATAAATGAATGGAGGGAAGGAGGGAGGGAGGGAGGGAGGAATAAAATCAACAGAAGAGCTAGGAATGCAGTGTAGAAGTCTGGGTAAGGTCTGGGTTCTACCCCACATCACAAGCAAACACACTAAGATGTTGCCCTGGGGATAGCTGTATGGTAGAGCTCTTACCTAGAATGTTTCCAGCTCTGTTCAGTCCTGGCACATGTGCACGTATGTACACACACGCACCAAGGGAGGGGAAACA